GATGCACGCTTGACTTTATTCCTTTTTCTTTTCTTTTGTTCAACATGCTTATGTTGTAGTGTGAACATTTGTTATCTACAATATATGTTTGTTATTATTATTTTGGAAAACTGTTAAATCTGTTGAAAGCTATTATTATTTTAGTTGATAAAGCTGTGCAAAAGATGATTGGACATTCAGCTTCTATGTCAGAACTCAAAAAGCCTTTTTTTTAACTATTTTCTGGTGCACACAGATTGCTTCAACTGCAAAGAAACTATGGGATGTACAAGACTCTGGTGAAGAGAAGACAGGAATGTCTACTGGGATACTCCAGGGTGACCAATGGAGAGAGAAYGCCTGGGGTCCTTCTGTACCTCTAATGAACCAATCAGAACATGCCGTCTCACAGCCAATCATGGTTCAGCATTCTGTCAAGCGAGGGGCATATAACAGTAACAGTTCAGAGCTTCATGGTGTATTGTCTCCTAGGTCAGCAGATGGTGTAGGGCTCAGTATGGTGGAGTATGTGTTGGCTTCATCACCAGGAGGACAGGAACTGGATGCACAGATGATCAAGTCTGGCTTTGTAAGTAGTGTGTTATTGGGTACATAGGCATGAACAACCTGGGAAGTTGTGGAATTATGTGGGTTAGTTAAGGTTCCTAGAAAGCTATGAAAAAAATTGTAATATTATTGTCATTGTATAAATAGCCATGATGACCTTGTAAATATAAAAATATAAAAATGAATTTCATGAAAACAGCTAGCACTGATTGCCTAAATGCTGCACAAAATCACAACAGGAGTCTCCTTCTTTCTGTTCTTTCTGCTTTTGGGCTTCCTGTTTTCTAAATATGATCCAGTAAGACTGTGACCCTTCTTGGCGGGACCCAAGGTCCAAGCTTAGCCAAGAGAAATATCTAAAGTTGACTATTTTAAGTGTTTTGAATTTTCTATTGTCATTATTCATCTAGTTTTCTTAGCAATGAAGATAGATTTATGGGTGTTTGTCATAGAAAGATAACAAGCCACAAATCTCAATAATCTTGGTTTTGACTTTTGTTGTTCTAAGGATGGGGAAGATGATGGTAAATCCAATATCATTTCTAAAGCTGCAAGAGTATCRCCATTTGAAGAGGAAACGCCAGAAGAACTACAAAGAGAACAAGACTTGACTTCTCCTAAACCCAAAACAGTCCCACAACCAGATGACGATGGTACTATGCACAGTGCATTTAGGTAGGTGACAGTACAATAAAATAGTGAAAATGTTACACAATGATCGCCCCGTGTAAGAGAATCCAGAATCCAATAAGAAAACAGCTTTGGAATCTGGAATCCCTATCCTGGAATCCGGAATCCCTATCTTGGAATCCGGAATCCAGAATTTGGAAGAGTTAGGAAGATTGCGGTGAAAATCTAGCTGTCTAGAGATGGGAACGTACATCCAACTGATATGTTGTACTTTGCTGTGCTTCATATATTTAAATAGTTTGTTTGTCAAATGCAACAAATATTGGAGACATTGCAAATTATTGACGCGCTAGCCTGCATTGCCGGCGCCCTGACACGCTGAATATAAAATTTTCAGAAAAAAAAACCCACTGAAAATCACACCATTTATTATCTGGAATCGAAAACAAAAATGGATTCTCTTACATGGTGCAACAATGATAATAATGAAGTAAAAGAGAAGGATAAAATAGGAAAAGGGATTAAAGAACAACAACAAAATATGATAATGATAATAGCAATAAGAAAACAAACAGATTTTGTTATCTTGATGAAGTAATAATTCAAACTGCGGTGAATAAATGTGTAATTTATATGATCGTCGCAGTGTAGATAATAATCTAAACGATTAGTAAGAATTGTATTGATCGCCAGAAAAAAATTCTGGGCTTCAACAGGAATTGAAACCATGACCTCGGCAATGCTGGGCGATCCATACAGTTCTTAATAATCGCAAGATTATTATCTACACTGCAATGATCATATAAATTCATTACACGCTTGTTATCTTCTTGTTGGAGTAATACCTGGGATATCCCGGCTTAACTGTCAAGTAAAAAAAGTAAAAAAAAAAAAGAATAAAGCTTTTTTAAAATTATTTTTCAATTATAGCTGTGTGCATTAACAGGACAAGGATGGGGATTTAAGCATTTTTGTTATTTAAGAATGGCTATCAGCAACCCTCTGACTAAAGTGTTTTTTTTTTCATTTTACTAAATACATATTTACCAAGTAGACTAACTAGCTTGTTAAAAAAACAGAACTAATTAACATCCAAAATATTCTATAAAGTCTAAATATTGAAATGCAAAATGAAATGGCTGTTAATGATGCATATTATGGCTCTTAAAACATATCAAACTCATTGAGACCATCAATTAATCAGCTACATTATTCTTTCCTACTGATATGAATATAGTACAGTTTTTCACAATAACCTCGAGTTGTSTTACAAATAGAAGATGTTGTAATTTAAAAACCACTTGAATKCTTGATTGAGCGTTCGAAAACCGATTGTATGTCATTAATTACACCAATCGTGTATTCGATGGTAATTTATGTTGACTTGTGTTCGGAAATGAAAATATGTGACGTTTGTTTGCTCAGACCTGTTATCTTTACATTTTTTTAGATTCTGCGCTACGTTGAGATTCTATTTGTAGYCTTTTTATTTACACCCGTCATCTCTAAATAATKTTCTTCTAACAGGAGATGAAAATTTTAAAGTAGTTGCAGATTTTCGATAGCGCTGGTCTCTAATTGTATAACTCACATCGTTTCATTTATTACGACTTTGCATTTGATTTGTYTTAACTTGTTGTTTGCTACTTTTGTTGCAGTTTTTGACAATAGGCTGTCAGCATTGTACTCGTCATTTTTTTTTAAAACGAAAATTCATGTTTTTGTAATTTCCTCTTCAAAAATTMGCTCTAATGATGATTTCCAAAACAATTTCATCGCCATATGACCATCTAAGTTGGACATCATTTCAAACTTTACCAGCTGCTATCATGTGTTAATCTATTCTAACTCGACTTCTCGCTCGCTCCAGGTTCGCGCCTGGTCGATTTTRGCGGCTCGCTTTTCTTTGACTGTAACGAACCATTTGTTTTTTGTGCGTGTATGCTGGTCGTTATTTTAGACAACTAGTGGGTTTAATTAATACCATCATCGCGTATGAGTGAGAAGCGAAGGGAATGCTGGCTAAGGCTATCGTACTGACATTTTGTTGGTAGCAACCAATGTTCACACTGTCATCGTTAGCGGTCGAGACATCGAATGTGTGCCCTTCTAAGGTAGGCTGTGGAACACTTAGAAATATTTTGTTACAATGCGAAAATTGTTTTTTGAAACAATGACCCATTTGAGAGGACCTTTTTTATACCGTTAATATCAACACAGGGCTATATAGTTCTGCATTAAACTGCTCTCTAGATATATCAATTCATTGTTCAATGGGTTAATATCTTCAAACTCGTGGGGAAAACCGGTTGAAAGTCTGGGCTTGTTTCCGGATTTCACTGCCAGCGGCTATAGACGATCGAGAATAGCGAAACAAATATATGGCGAGGTTATGTTTCATTTTGCTGGGAAAATATATTTATTAACAGATTATTGAATTTAAATTCAGTAGTCGTGAGTTGTATCTCAAGGCCGTGGAAATTGGACCTAATTATGTAAATAAGTTTGGTTTTGCTCTCGATTTGCTAGCATATCATCTGTTGGGTTCAAATATTGTGAATTTAACTATTTATACGCGAACAGAAAAATTTCTGAGCCAAAAAGGCAGCTTGCTGACCTCAATTTCGGTGTTACAAGACTTGGTAAATCTCTAAAGTCCTTTGAAAGTAGGGTCTTACCGAGAAMAAAATGAACATTGTGATCGGGATAAATGAAACGAAAAACATTTCTCGGGAATAATTCTAAATTTCAGTTTGAAATAAGGCATTGAAAGCTTCATGATGTTCATTTTAACCCATCTCCCAGCGACCAAAATCACAATGATGTTGCAGTGTAAATATCTACAGCACATTCAACGAATTAAAAATTCAAAACATTGCTAAAAAAGCAAGTTGTTCTCTGATCAAGTAGTTCTGGCGAATTTTTGATATCAGGTGCAAGTTATTGGACTATGGCGGTGGTCTATCTTTTTCTATGTTTCGCTTTGTCAATGCCGCAATGCAAATACATCCAAGTCTCTTTTCGTCAGTGATGATTATGCCTACCTTGGAGTTTATTTAGCATGGAAATGACACGAAAGCTAAATTTAAAAAGTCATAAAACGACGTTATGTTTCTAAGTATGAATGTGTTTCTGTGTTAGTGCAAAAGTTGGCAASAAACAWGAAGTGATCGCTATYATTCATCATACAAAAACCATTKCAAATTATTTGTGACAAAYTTTTTATTTTCATTCATCTGGATTTTTTACATTTAAATGGCGAAAAMAGTGGAAAAAATAATTGGTCTAAAGTTTTGTGTATAATTTTTCACTTTGCTTAACGGCCACTATTATTTAAAATTATAAAATTTGTCCCGTAAAAAGTGACAATTGGAATTCATTAGCTTCCGTAAAAATACACTTGTAATATTTGAATAAGTTTCGTTTGTATTTATGTTCTCACTGGTTTCATTATTCCAAAAGTCAAATATCGCTGATATGAGAATTATAACTAGTCGTTCAGTTCATTGAGTGCATTTCAAAAGTTTTCTCTACGAATTATATTAAATTTTATATCATAAAAATTTCATTTCKTAAATTTGATTACTGACGCAACTCATTCCTGAATTGAACATTTTGAATATTATTTCTATCAACTCAAACCAAAGTACTCTTGCGATTTTTTTATTTATTTTGCGCAACTGTGTATATTTTTTATTCGTTTTTCTCATTTTTGTTTTGTTGTTTGTATGCAAATATTATATTTCACTCATCGTCTTCACTTGAAACATCGCTTAATATATTGATCTAAAAAGTGTCGTTCTCTGAAAGGTCTGAAAGACATTTCAATATTTCCGTCCAAAGATTTTTTTTATTGTCGATATTATCTAGTTTTCACTTTCGGATATACTTTCAAAATAGCGAAATACATGTAGATTCATTTCGAGCGAGACTACCGACCGTGCAAGTGTAGAAAATTAGCGAAAATATTGTGTTTGACACGGTAAACGAATCGTAATTGATGGTCGCAGGCAATATGACAATCGATCGAATAGAAGCACGAATCACACAGGGTTTTATTTTGACCTTTATTTTTCATTTATTCCCATATTTTGTATTACATTTCAACCATTCCTTCTGTTTTGGGAGAAAGTTCTTTTCTAGTCATTTTTTCCATTTTCTTTATTATTATTTTTCTTTTTCTTCATTTTCGTGTAATGTTTGAATATCGTTCTTTTATAGTCACCGAATGTACGTTCTCAGTTAACTCCAGATTATTGTCATATTAGAGCACGGTTTGTTTCAGAMTTAGGGTGTCATCAATTCAAATAGCTTTTGCTCAAAATAAAAAAAAAAAAACACCAAAGAAGAACTCCCAATCATATTGAATATAAATCACTGTTACCTCTTTACATAAGTAGTGTCATAGGATAGATAGTCCAGGATCTCAGTAACTTCCTTTTATTAATCCTGGAATATCATCAATCTTTGTTCTCCTTCATAGTCCTTTTATCGGCCTTTGAAGGGACAGAAAGAGCGAGCAAGGGAACGTCCGTGAAGAAGACTATTTTAATTTTTCTACGGTTTTAAGGGGGTGGAGATMAAACGAATGCCMTTCACATTAGAAACTTGTTTTCATCRGGYATCGTCTCGAAATCTCCCAGGGTTGCCGAGGATGCTACCTAGCTGTACTCCAATTAAGCAGTCGAGTTGTCCTTCGCATAGATTCTCCATGAACGTTTGATTATGCACTGAGGRTTTTCATTGGCTCTTACAAGCAAATATCGGTATATAGCATTCGGAAAACACCGTCCGCACGGAAACAAGTATTTGACCAATGATATTGCGTGTTATATCTTTACTATCTCATGATATGTATACTTTAAGCGACACCTGCACGTCTAGACACAGCAGCTTGAAGGTCCCCCGCTATTCTGACCAATTGATCGACATAACCAAGTGTTACGTCTGAGTTAACAAGATTTTACTTGTAGTATAATTTAATAATACATAACGTCGTTTGATCTATAAGTAATATATACAATATGAGCGGGCGATCTGTATGAGGATTTAAAACAGCGAGCTGTTTTAAACCTCATACAGATCGCGCGCGAATATTGTATATTACTTATGAAACGTTGAGGTAAACTAGCTCAGGTTTTAAAGAAACTTTTGAAAAAAAAAAATCAATCTGACCAAGAAAATCAGAGTTAAAGTTTATGCAAATGAACAAGAAATCTGTATGTAATATACAACTCTCTTCATGGGCTATGATTTCTATTGTGTTTTGCCTTATGAATATTAATGAGTTTTATAATAAAAATAAGTTTTTGTCATATCTGACGTTGTTTTGCCGTGAATAGCATCTTTAAATGTTTTAAATTAACCAAGCATGGTGGTAATAGATATGTATGACATTATGTAATCTAATGTTACTATTACTATTAGTMAAGCTTTTAAAGAAAACAACCGGAACATTTATACCAAGCGTGATGATTAGGTTTCTATTGTGCAAACAGACGTGTCGATGGATGATCAATGATGGATAGATTAATGATTAATGTCAAATAGTGAATGAATAAAATCATAAATAAACGAACATGGTGGCAGACTACATTAAAACGACTATGAAATATTGATTGAGGAATAAGGAAATTATTAAAAGGATGAATTGATARACCGTTTTAAACTGAATAGTTGAAAATCAGGAAAGTGATAAATAAACGACCCGAGGGGCAGAATAAATTGATACATGAAYAGTTGAGTAAATAAATTGTTAAATGGATGAATGAATGATTGCTTGAAAGATTTCATTGAATTAAGCGTATCGACGACTATAGGATAGAAYGATTTGAGAAATGTCGGACCAATTCAAGTAACTATTGTAGCAAGCTGAATTATCTTTTTATTTTTTGAGTAAGAGACTAGTATTGAACAGTTGTCATCTAAATGTATCTGCTGTATCCGGCCCCTGAATTGTTACGGTGTTCCAACGAATGAAACCCTTTAACTGATTTATATTTACGTTTACGGACAAACTCCAGCGCCAATACTAATCACGTGGTCACTGTTTTCTTCTTTTTTTATTTTCTTTCGTTTTTTTTTGTTGACGCTTCGTTCTTTTGCTTCTATATAAATTCGATCGTTTTCTCATGCACAAGTACATTGCTATTCATTTCGAATGACGTTTGGCGTTCGCCTTAAACATGAATACGAAACTTTCTAATGTTGAACCGATACCTTATGAATTATTTGTCTAATCGAAGTTGTTTTCTTCCAGCCGTACCCCAGGAAGTAGAGACCCATCACCRACTACCAGCTCATCACAACACTCCCAAGATGCTTTGCAGTCCAGTCAAGCGCAGATTTCCAATCCATCACCCATTATTCACACAAAGTCCAGAAACCAACTGCATGACTTCAGAGAGGTTCCCCCTTCATCTATCTCTCTTGACACAGTAAACTTGGAACAATTGAACTTTGAGCATCAGCAGTTCCCTGGCACCCCCTTGAGTCCCTCTGAAGTAGTTATGGTGTCAGGGGGGTCACTTCCTGGTACCCATACTTCATCCTTGCAGCATCTATCACCACAGCAAATAGCGTTGGCAGTAGCAGCCCAGCACCAACAGCAGCAACAGCTTCAGTCAGCCATGGCACAGCAAAATCCTTACTATATCACAGCAACACAGGGACAGGACATGTACGGTAGTGGGTCATTACCACAAGTCAACCCTGGAGCTCAAATGGTTCCCCAGCCTTATGCTGCTGCCGCATACAGCATACAACCCTGGGGAGTCTACCCAGGCGCTGCAAATGTCTCTGGAAGTGGTAATTTCCTTCAACAGCAACARCAGCAGCAACAGCAACCCCAACAACAACAGCAGCARCARCAGCAACAACATGCTCAGTTAATGAGAAGCACAAGTAACCCTGGTGTAGGTGGTCAGCAGCTACAGACAGCCAATCAAATTGARCTCCTAAACAACCCACAGCAACCATCCATGGCCGCTAACACAAACTATCARCTCATAGCTCCCCCAGGGGCACCCCCCTTAGGACTCGGCGCAGCAGCCTACTACGATCAATCTGGTAATCTAGTGCTTAGCAACACCCAAGGAATCAATGGGGTATCACCACAGCAACTTGCAGCTAATCAGATGGGTGGGGCATTGAGGATGATGTCACCGATGTTGCTGAACGCTGCTAATAGCAACGCCAATAATGCTCCTGGGAGAATGGGGAATAGTGCAGGGGCGTCTGGAATGCGCATGTACGGTCARCAGGCACAGCAGCAGTTGTCTGTTAGTGCATCAATGAACACGTTCCAAAATCAAGTGCCTATGAATGGAAATGCTGTAGGTGTGGTCGGGAATAGTCTAGGCATACTTGGTAAGTTTTTTGAATTTCTCAGTTTAGACCTCTTTATCCTTTTATKCTCTTTGAGTGGAGATACTTCGAGACCCGATTGCGAATGGATAGTTTAAGTCGCCTCATATTCCGTTTAAATTTTTTTTTAATACAATTAGCCGTAGAGTCCTCCATTCTGGCTATTGTTTAAATATAGACCATGTCGTTCTCTACGTAGGTGGGTCATCAAATGTCGGCGCTGTAGGCTCCATGACTAGCGGAACTTCAAGACGTGATGTTCTCAACAGTGGTGACTACAGTGCTTTCAACAAGAGACAAGCAATTCAAGGATATTATCCCAGTCTGGGAGGCTCCCTTACAGTATCAGCACAACCATCATACAACTCACCACAAGAACTACCAACACCACCACTCCTCTCSCAAGGCAGTCAGTCCGGTTTTTCGGTCGGMAGCCCTATATCTAGTGGTCTGTCTCGCTACATGCAGCTTTCAACAGCTCCGGATAAGAAATTCCAGAATCCCCTCAGYAGTTTGAATGGTTCTCCATTCGGAAACTCGGTGTTAACACAAGGGGGTTACCGTGGTGGAGGGCGCTTGAAGGATACTGGTCGATCACGACTACTTGAAGACTTCMGAAATAATCGTTACCCCAACATCCAACTACGTGACTTAGCCAATCACATCGTGGAATTCTCTCAAGACCAACACGGCTCAAGGTTTATTCAACAGGTAAGTKTAAACACAAAAACCATCAAGTAGTTAGTCATTAAACCCCCAAAACAAAACTTGACTATTAAAGTAGATAGTCAAATGGACACAAAAGAAAATAATGCAATTAGAACGTACTAAGGTGTATTAGTTTGATATCTATTTCACGGATTTCTTTGACTTCACTTTAAATAAATATAGATCAATGAGCTAATCTTAACTTCTAAACATGTTGTCGTCCCAAAATGCGTTTTACGTTTACGTTTTACGTAAGTGCAAAGAACAATGCGAAAACGCGTTATACAAGTGTATTCCTTGCGCGTTATTTTCACGATACAGAACGATGAAAAGTCAGTTATTTTTTAGTTCTATATGGTAGATTTACCACTACGGAAACGCTTCAGTTGACTTAACCAAGAGTGAAGCGATRTTATTGACTTTATGCGGCACAATGCCTATTCCGTGCGTTATGACTAATCCTTTGAACTAAAGAATATTCCACAATTTGTTCCACAAGCTTCACCAACCGATCYCAACATGAAGCTSTAGTGTTTATTCGCATTGAGCCTATGCGGCAGGGTAGTGGCAAAATTATTACACACTAAGTACGATCAGATAGTTTCCTGTGATTGGATAAAATATATGGATAGATAATGTATAAATAGATAAATAAGCTCAACTTAGTTTGTTCTTCTAACTAGAAACTAGAGCGAGCCAGCCCCGTGGAGAAGAACATGGTATTCCACGAAATATTGCCCGCTGCRTACAGCCTAATGACCGATGTGTTTGGAAATTACGTTATCCAAAAGTTCTTTGAGTTTGGYAGCGATGATCAGAAGCATCACCTAGCGAGCTGTATCCGTGGTAACGTCCTACCGCTGGCCTTGCAGATGTATGGTTGTCGGGTAATACAGAAGGCTCTCGAGTGTATTCCTCCAAACGTCCAGATTAAGGTAAATGCAACTGATAGCTTGGAAGTTACAACTAGTAGAGAAAACGTTGTCGGTCTTTGAAATTCAACTTATTGAAACTAAGACTAAAATGGAGGTAGGTTATCGGAAGGAGGTTATTCCGGGAAAAAGAACCTTGGAAATAAATTCGGAAATATTTTTTTTTCCGACCTCTTGGATTTCAACCCATAACCCTAGGATTTGTACTACCGATGCTCTACCAGCTGAGCTACAAGGATCCCTAGCAACGTCGGAAATTATTTTTTCCAAATTTATTTCCAAGGGTTTTTTCTCCCGGAATAACTTCCTTCCTAGTGTGACAAGGTCAAGATTGTGTGACATCCATGTTTGGCAAATTGCGTGAGCGATCACGTTTGTAGCGTGCGCTTTACAAATCAGTTTTGCTCCAGATTCAGTCGTGTTTGGTTGTGCTTGTTTTCTCTGTGTGTGTTATGTGTTTTTTCCAACAACTTATCAAAGTGAGCCTGTCAACTACAACTAAATTCCATCACTTTTCAACCCGGTCACACTAGCATTATAACTTTTCCTTTATTTCTATATTATGTATCTCATAGTGCCATGTTGTCCTTACTTCCATATCTTTCAGAGATATCCATAGTTATTGATGATAAAGTGTGTTGGCAACTGAAACAGTGTTAAACATGTATAAGATTGTACTAA